CCAAGTGTTGGCTTGGAAAGTTGTAAGCTCGTAGGGCATTTACTTTTGATGTCAACATATAATACTTTTGTAATGAATACTCTGATAAATAGAATTATGCTTTATTCTCTTAAGTTTATGAATGTCTTGAATGTATGATTTATGGGTTTATTTTGAGGACGTTACAACATAAATAACCTAAAATTTATTATTTTAAGAAATGCATTCATTATTCGAATTTTTAAAAAATTAAAATAAATAGATTTTTTTTCTTGACAATTTGCATTACTTATCCATTCATATGTAAAAAAATTGTTATTTTATTTTTCCTCAATCATATGTTATTCTCAAATTTTAATTTTTATCTTTTAGTCATTAAACTTCTAATCAATGCATATTTAAAAAAATGCAGATTAATATTTCTTACATGATTAAAAAAAATTTAAAAACTAAAAATAGAAGTAGAAAAAATTTAATCGCCTCATAATAAATTAAAATTAGTTAATAGGGAATGAAAGATCAAGAAATCATTTAAGAATAATAAAACAATTCAAACAATTTGTCATTTCTTACACCTAAAATTAAAAGGGATTTTTGGTGAAAAGTCCCGCCCAATGGGCCTTTTTTGTGTGAAACCCATGTAATAAAATACTGGTTCCAAAAGTTCCTCAAATAAGAAAATATAGTGAAAAGACTTAAATACCCTTCTATATAGATGAGAAAATATCAAACGATGGAACCGTTTGTCTTCCTCACTTTGTTTCATCGCTTGAAATCATTGCTTTGAAAACAAATAACACAGTAAAATTTTATTGTCATTGTATAAAAAAAAAAACCAGAACAAATAACACCAGAGTAAAATTTTACTCTTCTTTTATCAAACAAAAACAGAGCACATACTAGAGTAAAATTCTACTCTCATTCTGTCAAACAAAAACAGAGCACATACTAGAGTAAAATTTTGCTCTCATTCTGTCAAACGAAGAATATAGCACATACCGTAGTAAAATTTTACTTTCATTTTATCAAAAAAAAAAAAAAACACTTTCATTTTATCAAAAAAATCAAGAAATCATTTAAGAATAATAAAACAATTCAAAAAATTTGTCATTTCTTACACCTAAAATTGAAAGGGATTTTTGGTGAAAAGCCCCGCCCATTGGGCCTTTTTTGTGTGAAACCCATGTAATAAAATACTGGTTCCAAAAGTTCCTCAAATAAGAAAATATAGTGAAAAGACTTAAATACCCTTCTATATAGATGAGAAAATATCAAACGATGGAACCGTTTGTCTCCCTTACTTTGTTTCATCGCTTGAACTCATTGCTTTGAAAACAACTAACAGAGTAAAATTTTACTGTCATTGTATAAAAAAAAAAAACCAGAACAAATAACACCAGAGTAAAATTTTACTCTTCTTTTATCAAACAAAAACAGAGCACATACTAGAGTAAAATTCTACTCTCATTCTGTCAAACAAAAACAGAGCACATACTAGAGTAAAATTTTGCTCTCATTCTGTCAAACCAAATTAGAGTACATACTAGAGTAAAATTTTACTCTCATTCTGTTAAACGAAGAATATAGCACATACCATAGTAAAAATTTACTTTCATTTTATAAAAAAAAAAAAAAAACACATATCAGAGTATCGCTTGAACTCATTGCTTTGAAAACAACTAACAGAGTAAAATTTTACTGTCATTGTATAAAAAAAAAAACCAGAACAAATAACACCAGAGTAAAATTTTACTCTTCTTTTATCAAACAAAAACAGAGCATATACTAGAGTAAAATTCTACTCTCATTCTGTCAAACAAAAACAGAGCACATACTAGAGTAAAATTTTGCTCTCATTCTGTCAAACAAAATTAGAGTACATACTAGAGTAAAATTTTACTCTCATTCTATCAAACGAAGAATATAGCACATACCATAGTAAAATTTTACTTTCATTTTATCAAAAAAACAAAAAAAAACAAAACACATATCAGAGTAAAATTTTACTCTCATTCTATCAAACAAAAACAGAGCACATACTAGAGTAGAATTTTACTCTTATTTCGTCAAACAAAATCAAATCATACACAATAAAAATAAATCAAAAAAAAAAAAAACTAATCAACAAATCAACATACTTGATTGAACTCGAACAATAATCAAGCACGTGATTGAAACAAAACCTCTAAAACTCCATCAACACTAACAAATCTCGATGAAACTCTCTAAATCTAAGACAGATTTGTACAGATTTGAAACGTTTTCTCGTTTAATTGAGAGTGTTGATCATTGATGGCGTGATCATGTATTGTTGACCAAGGGCGAGATCTTCAGATTTTGAGATCGTCTTCATGGATTTCACAGATCATCTTCACTGATTTCGCAAATCCTTCTCACTAAGCTCATGTATACAAGATCTGTGCATACATGAGCTGAACCGTGTATGTAAAAGGGCAATATGGTAAAAAAAAAATACAAATTATAGAATGTCCTCATTGAGCCACGCGTCTCCTACTCAGGCGCTTTTTGAAGATAAATTCATGAAGTTGTCCTTTATCCTAAAAAAAGGCCCAAAAAAAATTAATCTTTACTTGAATGGAGAAATTATTTGAGAATTAAAAAATGCTCAATTAATTTGTTAGGTATGATACTTAAAATCTATTTATTCATCTTTATTTATCTCATTTAAACTATTTTTTATTAAATTAAATCTTAAAATTTATTTATCTCCTTTATTTATGGTTGAATTTGTATTTTATTTATTGTTTATAAAAGTTCAAAAACTTATTGTGAAAAAAATAGAGTCAAGAAGTTACATTTATATTTTAAAAAAATTATGAAAAATAAATAAAAATTTCATATATATTTAATAGGGTAAATTAAGTTACATTTTGATATATATTTTTTCTTAGAAAGTGCTTTATTTTATTGTGTTTAAATTAATATTAGAGTCTGATTTCTCAATCTTGCTAATAAAATTATATGAGTGTTAGATATACGGAAGAAGTAAAATTAGATAATTTAAATAATAACACTTCGCTACAAATAATAATAGAACAAAATAAAGTTAAGAAATTAAAAGATAAAGTTAAAATTCAACCACTAATGAAGGTGAAAAATTAATTTTAATATTTAATTTAATAAAAATGGTTTAAATGAGAAAAATAAAAATAGAATAATATATTTTAAGTATCATACAACAAATTAATTGAGTATTTTGATATTCTAAAATAATTTTTTCATTGAAGTAAAGATTAATTTTATTTTTAGGTGTAACAAATAAGAAATTATTTGAATTGTTTATTATTCTCAAATGATTTTTAATTTTTAATCTTCTATTAACTACTTTTTATTTATTGTGAGTCGATTTTTTTATTTTATTTTTAAACTTCTACATTTATTTTTTAATTTTTTTAATCATGTAAGAATAACTTGCATTTTTTTTTTTAAAATATGCATTGATTAGAAATTTAAGGACTCAAAGATAAAAATTAAAATTTGTTAATAATATTTTAACAATTTAGAGATAAATAATTTTCTTACATATGAATAAATAAGTAGGGCAAATTGCTAGAAAAAAAAAATACAATCCATTTGTTTCAACTTAAAAAAAAAGAAAAGAAAAAAGAAATTTAAATAATAAATATATTAATTAAAATTGATAAATATTTATTTCTTTAAATAGTGTAAAATAAGTCTTATAAGTATTATATTAATTTTTAGAATCTTATATTAAATAGCTTATTAGTTTAAAAAGGTAATATGATCATTTTGGATTGAAAAATAACATCGTTTGTGCTATATTAATGGACTGAGAGAATTTTAATATTACCAGTAAAAATATAGGAGGTTTCTCTAATAAAGAGATAATATAATATAAAAAAACCAAAAAAATAAAATAAAAAATTACTCTTAACGGAATTACCAAAACAAGCATTAGTAATTACTTATAATTAGATTTTTAAAAAGAGTTTGTCCAACTTAAATTTTGTTTGATTGTATATATTAAAAATTAAAAATAATGTTTATAAATTTAAAATTCAAAATTTACTTGGTTTAAAATTTTTAAAAATAGTTTTTAAAATTTTAATTTGTATTTTATATGTATATATATATTTAAAAATAAAAAGCGCTCTATAAAAATAAAAAAAAATTTGGTTTGTATTTCTGAAAAATTTTTGGGAAATTTTCGCTACAAATAAGTTTTTAAAAGTAATCAAATTAAACAAATTTTCCCACAAAAATTTCTCAAAACTTGTAAACCAAACAAGTTTTCCAAACAAATCTCTCTCTCACACACATCAAATCAATCACTTTTTCCAAAACTCTCTCTCAAAATAATTTTCCAAAACATCTTTTGAAAAAAACCAAACCAAACAACTTTTCGTACTTTTTATCTCTAAAACACATCTCTCAAACACAAACCAAACATACCCTTAAAAAACTCTGAGCTGTTGCCGTACAGAGCAAACCCCCCTCTCGAGCAAGGATCCTCTAGAGTGATTTTTCTCTAAAGTTTTCTAGAGTGTTACATTGTGTGGTTGAGATTTACTAACAAGTCACATCAATTTTTCTGATGTGACTTGCCAGTAAATCTCAACCACACAATGTAGCACTTTAGGAAACTTTAGGAAAATTTCACTCTAGAGGATCCTTGGTGCCCCTCTCTCACTCTCTCTCTCTCTCTGCAAATCACATTCAGTCTACTACTCTACTCCTTACCCTACAGCTCCAGATCACTTTCTCTCTCTCTACAAATGCTGATTCTCACTGTTATCATGTGCAGACCTAGTTAGGTTAGGGTTAGGTGGCTTTGCGGAGAATACAATCCCACCGGATATTATATCCCCTTCAAAAAAAATTACAAACATGAGATATATGGACCCCACCGGATATAATATCCAATCCGAATCTTCATATCCTCAATCAAACAGGAATATTTTGTCCATAAGGATATGTTTAGGCAAAATGACTAAAATACCCATCAAAATATATGTTGCGTCGGTTTGTTTCCCCAAATCAAACCCCCCCTCTCTCTCTCTCTGCAAATCACATTCAGTCTACTACTCTACTCCTTACCCTACAGCTCCAGATCACTTTCTCTCTCTCTAGAAATGCTGATTCTCACTGTAATCATGTGCAGACCTAGTTAGGTTAGGGTTAGGTGGCTTTGCGGAGATTCGATTTTGGTTCCAAATCTGGAATCGATTCTATGGGAAACTGCTGCAGATCTCCGGCCGCAGTCGCCAGGGAGGACGTCAAGTCTTCAAACTTCTCCGGTCACGGCGACGCCCGGAAGGATCGCTCCGGCGGAGCCACAGCGAAGAAGACGATCACTGTCCTCACTGACGTTTCAGAGGAGAACATCGAGGAGAAGTACTTGGTCGATAGAGAGCTCGGTCGAGGCGAGTTCGGAGTCACGTACCTCTGCATTGAACGCGACACGAAGGAGTTGTTGGCTTGCAAGTCGATTTCGAAGCGGAAGCTTCGGACGGCGGTCGATGTGGAGGATGTGAGGAGAGAGGTGGCGATTATGAAGCATTTGCCGAAAGATTCGAGTATTGTGAGCTTCAAGGAGGCTTGTGAGGATGATAATGCGGTTCATTTGGTGATGGAGTTGTGTGAGGGAGGCGAGTTGTTCGATCGGATTGTTGCGCGAGGGCATTATACGGAGCGTGCTGCGGCGGCTGTTACTAGAACGATTGTGGAGGTTGTGCAGCTCTGTCATAGACATGGAGTGATTCACAGAGATTTGAAGCCTGAGAACTTCTTGTTTGCGAGTAAGAAGGAGAATTCGCCTTTAAAAGCGATTGATTTTGGCTTGTCAATCTTCTTTAAGCCAGGTGAGAATTAAACTGTTTTGGGATAAATATTTCAATTTAGCTGTACATTATATCAATTGTTTCAGAATTTAGATATTAAAGTATATTCTAATTTTAGTTGGATGTGTGATAATAATAAATTTTGGTCATTTTCTTGATCATTCACGTGAATGGAGAAGTTCTATAAACAAGTGGTTAAGTTTGTTGACAAGTTCTATTTGGTTCATTGGAATTAGAGGGAATGGAATGGAATGGTGATTCCTTGAACTTTCTTCTGGAATGACCCTTAATTTAAAATGGTGAAAGATGATTCTGTTTGTAATGCATTTGTCATTATTTTTTACTCTAACCAAACATGATAATGAATATTTTGATGGAAGGATCATTCCACTGAACCAAACCTAACAACTTTTGTTTGTGTGGTAAAATTTGCAGAGATCATATAGAAGGAAAATCATAGTGATTTACACTTATAAAGTAATTTTTAGAAACGTGTTATAAATGAGGTCTGACGAGTTTGCTTCGATTTAGTGAAGCTAGAGTTGGTTTGCACTCTCATTAGAGCACATAGAATGCTGTTGTGGTCACCTTCTCAAATTTGTAAATTGAGAGGTTTCATAAGCAGAGATGCCTAAAGCACATAGACCATGTTTTACTTTGGCTGAGGTGAGTTTGATGCCTCAAAGCGAGCTAATATTGTTATACAGCAAGTACTGAAATCTTTTCTGAAAACATAATTTAACAGTTTTGCAGTATAGGAACTTAATTCTTACTATCAATGCTGCAAGAATTGCACAACAATTCAACAATCTGATGTTGATTCTACTGAGATTTTACTGTCTATAGATTTAGCTATGAGCAGCATGGTTTTTGAGTCAAGAATCTTTAGTAGTCATTTTTGAAATCATTGTCTCTCACTTTTACATTTATATATATATGGAGGCCAGATGCATATGTATGTAACTAGCAGATTTCCCATGTTCATTGACATATTGATTATATGTTTCCTTCAAATGTGGCCTCCTTCCTGATTTATGGTTAATGAGATGTTTGCAAAAGAAAATGGGTAATAGAGCCATTTAAATAGGAGGCTAGAAATCCTTGGCATTTTATTTTATCTCTGTACTATACCTATCAAAGGAAAAAAAAAAGAAAAAAGAAAAAGAAAAAGAAAAAGAAAAAAGAAGAAGATAAAGAGGCCAGTTATTTTTATTTTTGTATTTGCAGTTATGTTATTTAGCTCTAATTTGTTCAAACATTTTTAGGTGAAAGGTTCTCTGAAATTGTTGGAAGCCCATATTACATGGCACCAGAGGTGCTCAAGCGGAATTATGGACCAGAAATAGACATATGGAGTGCAGGAGTAGTACTCTACATATTATTGTGTGGGGTTCCTCCATTTTGGGCTGGTAAATATATTCCTACAGACTTCTCTCCATCTGTCTGTGTGTGTGTGTGTGTGTGAAGGTTTCTTGTGTTGGCACTTGGCATATTTACATTATTATGTTTTTGCTTCATGGGAGCAGACATTTATATTTTTGTCACCGTGATTCCCTTTCCATGATGTGTGACCTAATTCTATCCTCTTCTACCAGTAGAAATTGTTTCCCATCTGGCTAAAGCTAGTTTTCCCATGCAGAATCTGAACAAGGTGTTGCACAGGCCATTCTTCGTGGGATAATAGATTTCAAACGGGAACCATGGCCAAATATTTCGGAGAGTGCTAAGAGTTTGGTTCAGGTTCAGAAGATGTTGGAGCCTGATCCAAAGCTTCGACTAACTGCAAAACAAGTCCTTGGTATGTTAGCTCTTGTTTTTCCTTTCAGATTGCCGTGCATGAAGGATCTATATTGTATTGTATCTTGAAAATATTTGCATTTGGTTAAAATTTAATTTCTATTACCCTATTTTCTTCATATTTCCTGCTACTTAGCATATTACCTGCAGGGAGGATGCATGGCATCTTGGGATAGTCTGCATTTGAATGTTAGCTGCATCGTTTGTGTGATAATCTTCTGGTAGAGGTGTAATGCCCCTTTATGAACAACAATGGCAAATCAACAATTTTACCTAGAGCATGTCTAAGGCATCTTCTAATGAAAATTAGGTTTAACTTGACTCTTATTTCGATGTTTCTTTTGAGTTACTTTGGCTTGGTGGGGGTCATCCATGAGTCTTGTTATCTGTGAAATTGTGTTTTTGAGTCTCGTATAGGAACTTTGTTATTATGTCTATAACGTTCTTCATGGTCTTAGTAGTGGAGTTGAATTTTACTTGCAAAAAAATAAAATAAAAAATGAGGAGTTGTTTTTGAGAATCTATGTCGAGCTTTTGAAATTTTGTTTGATGTATTATCTATGTTATGCACTCGTTTATGAGTATTGGATGCGGGCATGTGTTCAAGCGTCAGATCTTCTTAAGCCAAAATATTTGGATATTGAGATATGCATCCAAAAGTTGGATATGAATGCGGGGACACACCATAATCACTAATATATATTGCATATTGTATAATATTCTTAGATAAGATGTAAATTATTAGAAATTATTTTGAATTAAATGAGATTTAAGGAAAAAATGAAATTTATATCACATTCATGTGAGAAGCTAGAAAAGTTATTTTTACTAGCAAAAGTGAGTGCCTTTTCTTAAAACATCATAAAAAATTAGAGGATCCAAGAGTCAAAATTGGGTACAAGTGTTGGACGCATAGGCCATACCCTTACCTATGTCGTATCAGGTGGACATGGGTACACTGCTGAAGTAGAAGAGTCCATGTGATGTGTTATGCAGTCTTACCTTAAAGAGGTAACTTCTATGGAATTTTTGGTGAGATTCGTATATCCCCTGTTTCCTATTCATTTTCTTTTTCAATAAAACACAATTTTCAGATTATTATTGATAACAACTCTGATTTCATCCACAAAGCCCTACCTAATCAATCCCCAATCATTTCCATTCCTTCCCCCAAAAGCTTTGGCTATTGGCTTGAAGAAAAAGACCATAAAATACCTACCAACCTTATGCTGATTCTTGAAATTATTTTTTGCAACCACCCACTTGCAAACTAAGCCATAATTACCCTTTTTTTATGTAGAAACCCTAGAGACCTTTTACTTTTTAGAAATCCTAGCGACTTTCCGTAGCCAAAGCCCACTGATGTCCACTTGTTGTATAGGCAGTCTTGGTCCAACTTTCCTAAAGTTGTTATACATTGGATTTTTTTTTTTTTTATAAATTTTAGAATTTGCCAAATACTAGGAATGTGAGAAAAAAGGTCTAAATTGAACCTAGTCCTCCTTTGTGGTCATTGTCAATGGCTACATTTACAACGTTCTGTCAATACCAGTGTTGACAGAAAACGCTAATACCCTAGGGAATTACATTTTGGAGCACAAGTTTTGAAAAACATGATACACTTGCATTACAAAACGGTAAATTTAGTGATGCGATCTCAAAATTTTTTTCCAATATATTTCCTAAAGGTTTCCTTAAGAGTAAAAAAAGTCAGATGTAATGAACTAGAATGCAAACTGAGTGAAATTTTGACAGGACAAACCATAAAAAATGAGTCATAATGCTTATAGAAATATGTTGCTACATGACTATTTTCTTTTTTTTAAAAAAAAGCCTACATTTTGTTAGATGTTTTATTATTGTTAAAAGAAAATTGCCTTAGAAGTACCTTCAATTCTTATAGTGTAACCTATACAAGTCTACTCCTATTGTACCACATTTTAGAGCATGTGGCATATCATATTCCCGTTCCACGTATCAAAAAGGTCCGCATCCCAGGTGACATAGTCCGATACATACTCCACCACTATGATAGATTCTACTTTACTTTTAGCATTCTGATTTGTCATGTCAAATTTTACATGCATTTTCTACGATTCTATGTAGCTTACAAGCACATTATTTAAGAAATTTGAAACAAATCCATTTAAGAGTTTGATTTGATTTTCATGAAAATTAACAACATATATATTTTTTTTCTTTTTGATTTCAGAATTGTATTATATTGGAACTTGGATTATACCCATAAAGAATTCATCAAATTTAATCTACCACTATCAGCAACATGTGAAGACTCATAATCTGAGACGAACACTTTTATGGAGGCTTGTGGACACACACACTCTACGGACACTCCTAAAAGCGTGCCCAACACTTGTTCAATGTGTCATAATATTGGATTCTTTACAAACACTTTGTGGACACTTGAATCTTCTATACACTCGTATGATGAATCTATTCATAGGAACAATATTATGCATTCTTATTTATCCACAAAAAAAAAAGAAAAGAAAAAAAGAAGCAATATTATGCATTCTTCATAATGCAACTCGTGCACTTCCAATATGCTTAGAAATATTTATAAGATGAATATATCATGTGTATTTCAATGTTTTACAATTGCCTTGCATTATTTAGAATGCAATTGTTATGTGAATGATATCTTGATGTTTAAGTTAAGGAATATATGGTTTTTAATTCTAAGTAGCATTATGTTGTTATTATTTTTATTATATGTTTGACATATAATAAATTCATAAAATATAAAATTTTAACATGTCCTATGCATCTGCTTTTTATTTATTTATTTATTTTTAAATCGCCATGTTGGAGTGTCCATCTCTATGCTACTTCATAACAGATCAGGACCTCTCGCAGACGAATACACCTGTAAGAATTTTGTTAAATTTCGTCCAACACCATAATTGGTTAAGAACTGTCACTAATCACTAATCATCAATCAGAGGTCCTCCATTTACCCTTGCATAGTCACCACTCAAAGACAGATCTTGAAACTTTGTACCATCACATCAACACAAAATATTGCCTTTATTATGCTCATATATTATATATATGTGTGTGCGCGCGCCCTAGTTTTGGGTTAATTTGAGAATATAGGCATATCAATAAATATTTTTGTTGTTGAATGCAAGATTTTTTCGGGAAATTTCAATGTGGGTGGTGTTTTCTTTATCAGTCTATTTTATTGTTGATAGTAATTTCTTTGTTGTGGATGTAAAGTGATGGAATAAATGATAAAATGATATTTATTAATATTTAAATGAATATATATATGTGACAGGTATCTCATGTTCAGCATACTTATGCATTGGGAAGTAATACATGGCTTTAATATTGCTTTGCATATAGTACGATATGGAAATGGAAATTTAAGCATTATACTATATAAATGTTAATCTTTCAAAGTAAAAATCGCTTTAGCTCCATATTCTATTATTTGGGTGGTATATAATGCTCTAAAACATAGAAGAGAACTTTATATTTTGTTGTTTAGTAAATTTATGACTTACAATGTCTTTTTAAGTTCTAGCTGAAAACCAAAGAGAATGCCAGAAACATGACATTAAGAGAAAGGGTCTTGGTGTCTGATACACTTGTGAATGTATCTATAGATTATATATGGATATATTGTCATGTGTTTAGGTATTTAAAACATTAATGCAGCATACCTGCTTTAGTAGATAATGAATATTGTGGATGGAGTTGCACCCACAGATTGTGGGTTAATGTTTTTTTTATGGAAGCATATGTATGAGTGTTAAGTACATGTTAAACAATTGAAGTTTCATGTTTGGATGTAGTAGTGTCTCGCCTTAATTTAGGTTCCCTTTTCTCACAGAGCATGCTTGGCTTCAAAATGCCAAAAAAGCTCCAAATGTTCCACTTGGTGATGTTGTCAAGTCAAGATTGAAGCAGTTCTCGATGATGAATAGGTTCAAGAGGAAGGCCCTGAGGGTTAGTTCATCAACACCTTTATATTATTTTTTGTGATACTTGTTTCAATAAACATCGTAATGTAACTTCCATATGTAGGTTATTACTGATTTCTTATCCATTGAAGAAGTTGAAGACATCAAGGAAACGTTCAGAAAGATAGACACTGATAATGATGGTATTGTTTCTATTGAAGAACTAAAAGTTGGTCTTCAAAAGCTTGGTTCACAGCTTGCAGAGTCTGAACTACAAATGCTTATTGAAGCTGTAAGTCTTAATGCACTTTGTGCCTGAATATCATTTATCTTTTCAACTTTCATCAATTGTGCAATTACAAACATCAAGTATGTCTAATAGCTAGTTAATCTATTGTTGTCAAATCACGAATTGAATTGTGAATCGAATCATAAGATTCTCTTTATTTAATATAATATATAATTTTATGTATATATATATATATATATATGAAAATGCAGAGTGTTTAAAATAAAATAAATATCAATATAACTAAATTATATATTCATATAAAATCTTGTCTACCAATACGTTCAATCTTTTGATAGAGGCAAAAAAGAGTCTTTTTATGCATTATGGAATTGAACTGAATCGCAGTGAATCACATTCAATTTTCAATTCAACATAAAGATTTGAATTGTTTTTGTTGAAACTAGAATCTAATTGTATGAATTTCACACGAATCATGAGTCTTTACCTTTTGTTATTTGATTTGAAGTTCTGTTCGAAGTTGTTCTTTTTCATTTTTGTTCCCAATCATAGCTTGAACTCATGTTTTCTTTGACTTTATGGATCATGTTGTAGACTTCCAGTTAAACAATTGGAAGACATCAAAATAGTTAAAACTAGTTACCAGTTAATTCTAACAGGTGCTGGAGTTATCATGAAATTTTCTCTCTTTTAGATTTGAATTATCATGAAATGTTCTCTCTTTTAGATTTGAAAATATCTTGACCGGACAAGGATGTTGACAACAGGTAGATACTAATGGGAAAGGAACCTTGGACTGTGGAGAGTTTGTTGCTGTTTCCCTGTATCTACAAAGAATGGCTAATGATGAGCATCTCCGAAAGGCTTTCTCCTACTTTGACAAGGATGGTAATGGTTTCATCGAGCCAGATGAGCTTCGGGATGCCTTGATGGAAGATGGAGTGGATGATTGTACAAATGTAGCAAATGACATCTTCCATGAGGTTGACACAGACAAGGTGAAAAGGCCCAACATTTTCCATTAAACCATTTTCAACCAACAGTTTTGGATCTTACTTTATTTTTGTGTGAATACAGGATGGGCGAATCAGCTATGATGAGTTTGTGGCTATGATGAAAACTGGGACAGATTGGAGAAAGGCTTCTCGACATTACTCAAGGGGGAGATTCAACAGTCTAAGCGTGAAGCTGATGAAGGATGGTTCTCTGAAATTGGGGGAGTAAGAGCCATGCATGGTTGATTTTCAGACACGCATACAAGAAAGTACTATAATCGTTACCCCATATATATTGAACTTGAACCTTCTTTCGTGATTATTTGTGGGACTTTATTGATTAGGTGGGGGCACTATTGATTGCTGGCTTCCGAGGACCATGGACGGGGTAAGTACATATAATCTACCTCTTCAAAATGTTAAATGTGTAGAATTCACATGCCTTAAAGCCTTGGTTACATCTGTGATTCTGTCCTAAGTGCTTCAACCTTCTGCCTGTATTTCTGGTTGACAATGTGACATTGTTGGACTCTCTCTAGTGTTGTGGCATATTCTTCTTGGAGAAATATGAAGGCCTTGCAGCGGACTTCTGTAAATAAACGATACATGCACTTGACATCCACACACACAGACTTGTCAGGAATTTTTGTTTTTGTTTTTTTTTTTGTTTTTTGTTTTTGGTTTTTTTGCACAGCATACTAGGGAACAACTAGTTTACATATTGGTTTGGCTTTAAACACCAAGTAGTTGTATGCTTATATACAATGTGGTCATGCTTCAAGCCTTATGTAGGCTACAAATTTGTGCTAGATTGTAAAATTTCATGTGTTCTTTTGTTTTTTATTTTTGTAACGTGAGACTTGTGTTAATTTCTCAATTTCTAGTTGACAATAAGTTGAGGCACAAGCAGAGAGATGATAGCTGACAATATGGTGAGCAGGACTTGATGTTCTTTCTTTTACAGCTACCAGCCACCGCAAAGATTCCAACCCCAGCCCAGGAGTTTGGAGGTGTGTCATGGACCACCTTGGGCCAGCATTCTCACCATGGGAAAAAAAAGGGATTTTGTGTTACAGGTACACCTACGGAGTCATGTATCAGTTACTATGTGGGCTCATGTGTGTGCTCCATATGCTGTTAAAGAGTAACCGGTATACCATATACTTTATATCTTAACTGTAAGTCTTTTACTAACAGTAGAGCTACAAAAAAATCTCTCCTCTTAATAACATCTTATGCTAATACGGACAGACTCTTCCACTAGGGATGCTCCAATTCAATTGTTATTATTTGTGTCAAATATTAGTGTTAGCTAATTGTGGCAAAACAATTAGCTTAGAGAGAGAGAGAGACTGAACCCACATTTGAGGCACTTTGCACTTGATGATACATACTTTGATACATGATTTAATTACAACATTAAAATGGGTCATGTGTGTCCCCTCTTTTGTATTTTTTTATTATTTATTTTGTGTGGATTAACACACTAATACACAAATTTAATCATTTCATTGGAGATGTTTTAATTAAGTAGCCAACTTTAATCAAATGTAATGCTGGCAGTTTCGTTTGCATTTGAGAAACATGTTTTGAGATAAAAAGTATGAAAATTTGTTCGGTTTGGTTTTTTTTTCAAAAGATGTTTTGAAAAATTATTTTGAGAGAGATTTTTAGAAAAAGTGATTGATTTGATGTGTATGAGAGAGAGATTTGTTTGGAAAATTTATAAACCAAACAAGTTTTGGAAAATTTTTTTGGAAAAATTTGTTTGGTTTGATTACTTTCAAAAATTTATTTGTAGAGAATTTTTTTAAATTTTTTTGAGAAATACAAACTAAACAAGGCCAAAATTGTTTGGCTGGTTAAATTATACGTCTGATCATCTAGATGGTACAAGTAGTCAGGGTAGGGATTGGTCTCATGCCCTAATACAACTTGGTACAAAAAATGATTTAGGCTGTGTTTGGTTGTGAATTCAAAACGTGATTCTACACGTGAACTCCCGCTTCACGTTTGGATAGGATGTTCAAAAGTTGATTCAGCGTGTTAATTCAAATTAGATTTTGAAAATCCATTTGGCAGCTTGTATTTTCACTTTCAACGTTTCTGAAAAGCTTCCATGTCCTTCTCCTCCATCGTCTCTGTTTCACGTGAACCTCATCTGTGTATCAAACCTTGGGGATGACCGGGCGGTAGACCTTGGGGATGACCGGGTGGTTGTCCTCCTCTCTGAAGATGAACTGGCATCAATTATTTTATAGAAAGGTAAGGTTCAAAAGGTTCAGAAAGGTGAGATTTTATTCAGATTTTCTATCAATTATTTTAGAAAAAAATAAAAAACGTATTTTACAAGATGTTTGTACAGACGTAAAAAATAAATTGATAGAAAAATTAATTGATACAAAATAATTGACATAGGTTTATTTTAAAATGACAAAATTATTTGAAAAAAAAAATTATTCAAAAAAAAGATTTGAAAAAAAATTAATTGACAAAAAAATGGTATTTTTAATGTCAGTATTTTAAAAAATAGTTTGGTTATTATTATTGATAAAAAATATGGATATCGATAGAAAAATTAGTTGGCAAAAAAAAATTGACATCGGTTTATTTTAAAATGAAAAAATTATTTCGAAACAACAATTATTTAAAAAAATTACTAAAAAAAAATAATTGACAAAAAAAATCAATTTTTAATTTCAGTATTTTAAAAATAGTTTGGTTATTATTGTTGATAAAAAATATGGATATCGATATATGAGTTGTGTGTTTGATGATAAATTATTAGTTGAATTAAGTTTTGAAAATTATTTTCAAAACACATCACCAAACAAATTTTCACCTTTCACATGTCACATTAAACTTTCAAAACTTAATTCAAAATACATCTTCAAAACACAATTCAACACTCTATTTAAAAACCATAACCAAACAAATTTTCTACACTCAAATCATAATTCTACAACTCACAAACTCAAAATATAATTCATACTCTCAAATCACATTTACAAAACACAACCAAACGCAGGCTTAGACTCTATAAAGGTATCCTCTTTTTTTTTGTTTGTTTGTTTGTTGGTTAGTTTGTTAGATAGGATATTCTGAGTCAGTTTACGTAAGTTTCTATAGCCTAAACAAGTTTTTTGAAATAAGGTTTACATCTTGCGGTTCGTTGTCTCAAGATATGCGCTTGCTGGTTAAGAGATTCGAACTTAAGACATGAGAAAAAGTAAATTTCCAATAAATTTCCAAGCCACAGTCATCACTCACTAGACTAATCACCCCGTGGTCAACTCTACAAAGGTAGGAATGGTCCCAAGCCCCTAATATTATTAGGGAGACAAAGGTGCCTTCACAAGACTTGGGAAAAATTAATCAGTATGCTTGATTTTAGTTTTTTAAATTCAGTTTTTTAAAAATTGAGTTTTTTATTTTTTGTGTTTTTTTTTTTATTTTTAGTGAATATTTTTAAAATTTTAAGTATTTTTTTAAAATTTTTTTAGATGCACTTTACGTAGATGTATCTAAAAAGTATAATATTTTTGAAAAAATATTTTAAAAAAATTAATAAATATACAAAAATATAAAAAATATATTGAATTTATATATATACATATATATTTATATTTTTGGTATTTAGTGAATATTTTAAAGATTTTTTCACGAAAATTATATTTTTGAAGTGTATTTATGTTAGATGTGTTTAAAAATTTAAAAAATTACGTAAAATATTAAAAAAATTCAGTAAAAACAAAAAAAATATGAAAAATAAGAAAATAAAATTTTCTAAATATGTTTTTAAAAAATTAGAAACAAACGTAGTCATTATGCCCTTGATAAGTGGTTTTTTTTTGGTTTTTTTGCTAAATTAGTTATAAAAGGACAAAATAAATTAAAAAATTAATAAGATAAAATGTCACATTTAATTTATAATTATTTTATTTTCTCTTTTATAAAAATTAAAAAAGTTAACTCAATTTTTTTTTAAACTCTATATTAAAATAGTTAAAAAATCAATCCCCTCTCGAAACAATCAAGAGTGATAAATATTTTGTGATGCTGGACCACCACATCATTCTTGGCTCCATTCATTTAAAATTGATTATTTTAAATAAAATGGGATTTCAATTATGAAACTTGATTCCAATTTTGTTAAACGTGAACAATCAAGTAATTGAAATTAAAGATGACATGATAGTCTCGAATCATTGTCATGAAGTAACTTCAAGTCATGGTTGGAGGAGTCCGGATCGTCAGTTGTCTTCCCTTGTCACCCTTCCTGTGGCACTCCAAAACGACGTTGTTGTGGAGCCAAATTTCAATTAAAAAAAAAAGAAAAAAAAAGAACAAAGACAAAACATAAGAGAAGAAGGAAGGCAGAGAAAGAGAGGAGGAGGAAGAAGAAGAAGAAGAGGAGAGGAGGAGGATCGCAACCAAAAAAAAAAAAAATTTTTATTTTTGTAATGTGAGACTTGTGTTAATTTCTCAATTTCTAGTTGACAATAAGTTGAGGCACAAGCAGAGAGATGATAGTTGACAATATGGTGAGCAGGACCTGATGTTCTTTCTTTTACAGCTTCCAGCTGAGGCAAAGATTCCAACCCCAGCCCAGGAGTTTGGAGGTGTGTCATGGACCACCTTGGGTCAGCATTCTCACCAGGGAAAAAATGGGATTTTGTGTAACAGGTACACCTACCGAGTCATGTATCAGTTACTATGTGGGCTCCTGTGTGTGTTCCATATGTTGTTAGAGTAACCGGTATACCAATGTGGTGTATGGTGTACTTGTTTACACAAAATACTTTATATCTTAACTGTAAGTCTTTTACTAACAGTAGGGCTACAAAAAAATATCTCCTCTTAATAACATCTTATGCTAATACGGACAGACTCTTCCACTAGGGATGCTCCAATTCAATTGTTATTATTTGTGTCAAATATTAGTGTTAGCTAATTGTGGCAAAACAATTAGCTTAGAGAGAGAGAGAGACTGAACCCACATTTGAGGCACTTTGCACTTGATGATACATACTTTGATACATGATTTAATTACAACATTAAAATGGGTCTCATGTTTGTCCCCTCTTTTGTATTTTATTTTTATTTATTGTGTCAATTAACACACTAATACACAAATTTAATCATTTCATTGGAGATGTCTTAAATAAGTAGTCAGATGCTGTAATGGTAGATGAAAGTGTTAGGGGACGAGGTAGGCCTAGATTAACGTTAGCTAGCGCTGTAAATAGAGATATAGATCTACTTAATTTGACTAATGAAATGGCTTTTGATAAGGCTTCGTGGAGAAGAAGGATTCATGTAGCTGACTCTATTTGATGAAACTTAAGGCTTAGTTTGGTTTGATTTGGTTTATGAAAACTGAGACAAATTGGAGAAAGGCTTCTCAACATTACTCAAGGGGGAGATTCAACAGTCTAAGCGTGAAGCTGATGAAGGATGGTTCTCTGAAATTGGGGGAGTAAGAGCCATGCATGGTTGATTTTCAGACACGCATACAAGAAAGTACTATAATCGTTACCCCATATATATTGAACTTGAACCTTCTTTCGTGATTATTTGTGGGACTTTATTGATTAGGTGGGGGCACTATTGATTGCTGGCTTCCGAGGACCATGGAGGGGGTAAGTACATATAATCTACCTCTTCAAAATGTTAAATGTGTAGAATTCACATGCCTTAAAGCCATGGTTACATCTGTGATTCTGTCCCAAGTGCTTCAACCTTCTGCCTGTATTTCTGGTTGACAATGTGACATTGTTGGACTCTCTCTAGTGTTGTGGCATATTCTTCTTGGAGAAATATGAAGGCCTTGCAGCGGACTTCTGTAAATAAACGATACATGCACTTGACATCCACACACACAGACTTGTCAGGAATTTTTGTTTTTGTTTTTTTTTTTGTTTTTTGTTTTTGGTTTTTTTGCACAGCATACTAGGGAACAACTAGTTTACATATTGGTTTGGCTTTAAACACCAAGTAGTTGTATGCTTATATACAATGTGGTCATGCTTCAAGCCTTATGTAGGCTACAAATTTGTGCTAGATTGTAAAATTTCATGTGTTCTTTTGTTTTTTATTTTTGTAATGTGAGACTTGTGTTAATTTCTCAATTTCTAGTTGACAATAAGTTGAGGCACAAGCAGAGAGATGATAGTTGACAATATGGTGAGCAGGACCTGATGTTCTTTCTTTTACAGCTACCAGCCGAGGCAAAGATTCCAACCCCAGCCCAGGAGTTTGGAGGTGTGTCATGGACCACCTTGGGCCAGCATTCTCATCAGGGGAAAAAAAAGGGATTTTGTGTAACAGGTACACCTACCGAGTCATGTATCAGTTACTATGTGGGCTCCTGTGTGTGTTCCATATGTTGTTAGAGTAACCGGTATACCAATGTGGTGTATGGTGTACTTGTTTACACAAAATACTTTATATCTTAACTGTAAGTCTTTTACTAACAGTAGGGCTACAAAAAAATATCTCCTCTTAGTAACAGCTTATGCTAATACGGACAGACTCTCCTACTAGGGATGCTCCAATTCAATTGTCATTATTTGTGTCAAATATTAGTGTTAGCTAATTGTGGCAAAACAATTAGCTTAGAGAGAGAGAGAGAGCCTGAACCCACATTTGAGGCACTTTGCACTTGATGATACATACTTTGATACATGATTTAATTACAACATTAAAATGGGTCTCATGTTTGTCCCCTCTTTTGTATTTTATTTTTATTTATTGTGTCAATTAACACACTAATACACAAATTTAATCATTTCATTGGAGTTGTTTTAATTAACTAGCCAACTTTAATCAAATGTAAAGCTGGCAGTTCGAAAATAAAATTGTTTGGCTGGTTAAATTATGTCTGATCATCTAGATGGGACAAGTAGTCAGGTTAGGGATTGGTCTCAAGCCCTAATACAACTTGGTACAGAAAATGATTTAGACTCTATAAAGGTATCCTCTCTTTTTGTTTGTTTGTTTGTTGGTTTGTTAGATAGGATATTTTGAGTCAGTTTACGTGCAACATACTAAGTTTCTATAGCTTGAACAAGTTTTTTGAAATAAGGTTTACATCTTGCGGTTTGTGGTCCCAATGTATGCGTTTGCAGGCTAGAAGATTCGAACTTAAGACTTGAGAGAGTAAATTTCCAAGCCACAGTCGTCACTCCCTAGACTAATCATCCCGTGGTTGACTCTATAAAGGTACGAATGGTCCCAAGCCCCTAATATTATTAGGGAGACAAAAGTGCCTTCACAAGACTTGGGAAAAATTAATTAGTGTGTTTGATTTTAGTTTTTTGAATTCAGTTTTTTAAAAATTGAGTTTTTTATTTTTTGTTTTTAGTAAATATTTTTAAAATTTTAAGTATTTTTTTATAATTTTTTTTAAATACATTTTACTTAGATGTATTTAAAAAGTATAATATTTTTGCAAAAATATTATAAAAAAATTAATAAATATACAAAAATATAAAAAATATATTGAATTTATATATATACATATATATTTATATTTTTGGTATTTAGTGAATATTTTAAAGATTTTTTCACGAAAATTATATTTTTGAAGTGTATTTATGTTAGATGTGTTTAAAAATTTAAAAAATTACGTAAAATATTAAAAAAATTCAGTAAAAACAAAAAAAATATGAAAAATAAGAAAATAAAATTTTCTAAATATGTTTTTAAAAAATTAGAAACAAACGTAGTCATTATGCCCTTGACAAGTGGGTTTTTTTTGGTTTTTTTGCTAAATTAGTTATAAAAGGATAAAATAAATTAAAAAATTAAAAAGATAAAATGTCACATTTAATTTATAATTATTTTATTTTTTCTTTTATAAAAATTAAAAAAGTTAACTCAAATTTTATTTTGACTTTATATTAAAATAGTTAAAAAATCAATCCCCTCTCGAAACGGTCAAGAGTGATAAATATTTTGTGATGCTGGACCGCCACATCATTCTTGGCTCCATTCGTTTAAAATTGATTATTTTGAATAAAATGGGATTTCAATTATGAAACTTGATTCCAATTTTGTTAAAGGTGAACAATCAAGCAATTGAAATTAAAGATGACATGATAGTCTCCAATCATTGTCATGTAGTAACTTCAAGTCATGGTTGGAGGAGTCCGGATCGTCAGTCGCCTTCCCCTGTCGCCCTTCCTGTGGCTCCCTAAAACGACATCGTTTTGGGGCCAAATTTCAATTAAAAAAAAAAGAAAAAAAAAAAGAACAAAGACAGAACAGAAGAGAAGAAGGAAGGTAGAGAAAGAGATGAGGATAAGGAAGAAGAAGAAGAAGAAGAAGAGGAGAGGAGGAGGATCGCAACCACAAAAAAAAAAAAAATCTTCATACCCCTCCATTGCCGGCCACCTCTTCACCAGCTTCGGCGAGCCCCTAACGCCTCCCTTCTCTCCGGCAACCCTTCCCCAGTTTCTCCCCCCTCACGGCGACCCTCTTTCAGCCGTACCATCCATCATCACACCATCTCTCAATTTCTTCCTTTTCCATCCAAAACCCACCAAACCCATCTCCCTTTTCTCTCAGATGTATTGACCCACCTCAATTTTTGTCTTGTTCTTTCCTAAATTCCTACCAAATTTTGTGTTTCTGCTTTAAAGAGTCGAAGTGGAGGAAGATGAGACAATAATAGGCTCTTGGAAATGGAAGATGAGACAATAATAGCATATTTCATTTTCTCTCTCTAACTTCTCTCTCAATTAAACCCACCAGATTCTCCTCTTCCTCTTTTTCTGCTTTTTTTTTTTTTCCCTAGATCTAGAAGAAGAAAGAGAAGAGGAAGAAGAAAAGCAAGGAGGGGGTGATGTGGCTGGGGGGTCGGAGGGGGAGGAGGGTTAGGGGGGTCGTCGGAGCTGTTGGGAAAGATACACACTGGAGAAGCATGAATTGTAAACAACAGTTTTGTCTCTGTTTTTTCTTTTTTTTAATTGAAATTTGGCCCCAAAACGACGATGTCGTTTTGGGGCGCTGTAGGAAGGGCGACAGGGGAAGGCGACCGACGATCTGGACTCATGGTTGGAGACCCTGACAAATGCTATCCTCGTCATATTTTTCTCTCTTATATTTTATTATTATTATTGTTATTTGTCATTCTAGTCTTACATTGTGGATATACAGTGGCCTTGTTTGACAATTTAATTTTTTAGTTTAAAAATTAAAAAATTAAAAGTTAATAACTTATATTAAAAAATTAATTTTTTATTTTTTGTATATATTTTCGTAAAAAATTAAAAAATTACCTTAAATAAGGATAATTAAACATATTATTTTTTTATTTTATATTTTAATTAAAAAATTATTAGAATAATATATTTCCAAATAAGGCCTAGTTTCTGAAAATGTATCCTTTGGAAAATTATGCTCATTTTGTCTTGTTAGGCTGAGTTGGAGTTTCAACCACCAATCTCCATCCTAACACACCACATGGAAGGAGACAAACAGAACATCAACATCTCTCACTCTCCTAATCCTCCAAATTGCCAAAGCCAAGCCAAGCCAAGCCATGCCATGCCCTAGAAAAAAAGTGAACGTGCAACCACTATCTTCAAAACTTAAATGCTTGAAACAATGGTTGCCGCCTAATCTTCAACTCAAATGGGCCACCTTCTCTCCACCTTATATATAAAGAAGACTGCTATGGATCATTTGTTCACTGCGGTACTTATAACACATTTTTTATTTTGAGGACAAATTTTACTTTACTTTTCTATAGTTTAGATTAGGTGTGATTTATTTTTTTAATGTTTGGAAATAGCCATATAACTTCTATGTAATTTGTTTACTGAAGTGTATCGTTAAATATTTTGTCTAATTTAACAGTAATTATTAAATACGTGGGAGACATACGAGAGTTATATACTCATTTTCAAATTTTAAAGGGGTAAATTACACATAAAATAAAGCACAAGGGTTAAATCGCACATGGAATAAAGTATATAGGGTTAAAGTGCACTTTATCTTCCAAACAAATGATGAAAATATAGAAGTATTTTATTATTTTTCATTTTAACAGGCCTAATGGTACACTTTAGTGTACAAACCACAAGAGGGTCATGTGGTTATTTTTAAATGTTGGAGATAAACCGCACATGATTTAAATTACGAAGATTAAAGTGAAATTTACCCTTATTTTAATTAATTCTTTAATAATTATCTTCGAAACCATCATAAGTATTTATTTAGAAGGTCATATTAAAAAAAAAAGTGACGATAAATCAGTGATATATAGCATTCTTTTTATTTTTAAAGGATCAGAGCTCCACTTTCCTTGTAGACTTGTCTGGCAGAAAACTTCAAAACAAAAGGCCACTTTTTTCCAACTTTTTTCTTTTCCTTCATCGAATATGTTGCAATTTGCACGGTAAATGTGATAAATGAATGAATCAACTTGGGGCACTTCACACTATGTTTGGATCACATATTTGTGAAGAACGAAGATAAGAAGAATATAAAGTGAAAGATGCTACAATTTGTTTATTTTGTAAGAACACGTGTGAAGGTATCCTTCCAAATCGGATAAAAAAATAAATGAAAGAAGTTTTAATATTCATTGAATGGACTCTCTAAAAGTTGTCAAAGCTAAAATTCAAATTCTTTAAATTATGTTTGGATTATAAATTTGGATAGAAATTTGGATAAAGAAATAAAAGATGTGAGTGAAATGTGAATGAAATATATTTACATTTCAAAAAGAATGAAAAGAATTATTTGACTTTTTCATGAATGAGGTAGAGGCCATATATATATAATAGATTCATGATCCAATTTAGAAAATAATATAAATAAGGAAATAATACTAAATCGGTGATTGACATAAGCACAGATTATATACATAATACTAAAAATAAAAAAATTCTATGTACTCCAATTTTTATATTTAACACTCTCCCTCAAACTGATGTGAAAATATTCAACAATAGCAGCTTGCCAATAGATGACTAGAAGAAATTGGAAAAAAACTCAACGGCTAGTCCAAATAAATGTTACCGAACAAATCTGGTAGTCCACTAAATATAAAAGGCCAAAAAAAGTGTTTAATACATCAACACCACACCCTATAAAAGGGGGAAAACAGGGATTGAACTGCACTAGAAGAGATGGCGAAGCATTTATGGCTAGGAAACACCCTGGTCGGCATCAGATACCGGAGCTAATGCCGGGAGATAGTTTATGATCGTGTTAGACCATATTCTTAACCGCATCTACCCGCATTGTGTCTGCGAAACCATCAATTTGTATGCCGATCAGTTCGGTTGACGCGG